TATTTGATTTGGAGTGTTAGGCTAAAGGATTTAATCCTACACGTTGTGTTTTTATTGTTCTTGTTCGTGTGTTGTGATTTCATTGGTTTGATTACTTCCATATTTGGTGTTGGTAGTATTTTATACTCCTAATAAGTTCTTGCAAATTAGGGAGGTTTTGGTTCGTTTCCGCTTGGCTACTAGCCTCTATTGTGTAGTTAGTGTCTTTGGTTTGTTTTGGTTCTCTCCTCCCAACATGCAGAACTAGAATAAACTAGTAACTTAGATGATCTTTTGAGATTGTCTTGCGACCACGATTCTTGAACGCAGTGTCTTTATGAGGTAGCAGCTTTTTACTCTGCCTTTTTCATTACTTACAAGCTTATCTTTCATATGGAGCTTGAAAATTTTTGTTATCCAGATACTATAAAACTTCTACGTAGAATTTGGTCATGACTCAAGAGGGGCTGGACCTACTAAATAATATTCCATTGTCACGAACAAAAAAATAGTTTGGCAATGTGGACTATTTTCTAAAGTTTATACTAATATTTTAAAATTTAATTTGGACTATTTTTTTAGGACAGGAGAGTAATTAAATACGAACCATTACCATCCTTAAGATTCAAAGCCATTTCCTAGGTACATAGTAAATTTCAACCATATCCCAAATTCTTTTCTAATATTGTAAATAATAGTGTCCAGCAATATATATTAGAGAAATCTCTCCCTTCCTTACAAGTTACAACTCATGAAAGACATTAGTCGCAGCGCCTTTAATGATATAATCTGATGCCACATGTTAATAGCTTTCTCCCATGCAACAAGCTTCGACCCAAAAGAAAAGGGTGTCTTTTAAAACTCCTGCCTTTAGAAAATCTCCAGCCCTAAAATACATACCTATACCATGACTTTTGCAGCCAATGAATATCACCATTTGTCTCGAAAATGATATTTCAATATGAAGTATCATTTTCAACAAGTTTGAATTTTCACTATAAATAATGCCATCTTCTACTTCTTAACTACGTAACAATGAATGTCTGATGTTCATGGTTTTTTATTCTGTAATAATACCAGCAGCCTCTAGTAGAAGCGCGCAGATCAAGGAAGTTGAAACTTGTTGCGAAAGAGAGGAGAAAAGATCATAAATTTTTAAGAACGTAAAATTTTATTAGAAAAGAGTTATATTTTATTTTGTGAGAACTCTAATTTATGGACAACTCCACAATAACCAAAAGAGAAAATAATTATTCAAATCCTAAAATGTCTCTAAGAATCTATGATCAAATACGAAAAAATCTCCAAAACACCTAACCTTGTTTGATGTTTCAATCTGTGGTTAAAACTTTTGGGTTCCTTTTGGACTAGTCTTTCATAATGTATTATTTGTTTGTTTAGATTTTCTCAAATGTTTAACCAAACTAAACTACTGAGTTGAAGTTGTTATATGCATGCTGCAAAACATATGAAGTGTTGTATAGTTTTACTAGAGGTACCATTTATGCATGTTTGTTTGTTTAGTTAATTAATAACGATAGCCACTTTCATTTTTCTTTTGAATTTGAAGATTAGCCTTTTGGATCATTAATCTGTTCAATAGTTTTCTTCCCAGTGATGTAGTTCAAAACATATGTACTCTAAAATGCTTCCGAAATAAGTTTGGATACTTGGAGTCAAGCTTGAATCTTCCAGGAAATTTAAAGAAATACAATGTTCTACGAGATAAAGAAAAGGTTGAATCTTCCAAAACAGTTTCCATCGATTCTTCTTAGAACAAGATCGATTCCAAGGTGGATTCTTATATGCTAGGTGATCTTTTAGATGTTTTTGGGGCCATTTTGATTATGATTACATGACTAAATTAGTTGTACTTCCTCTACTCCACAAGAACACTTACAACATCGACTGTAAATTTCTAAATATAGTTCACCAATGTGACTTTTAAGGGATCGAACTAATTAAGATAGTAGTTTTAGATATTACACGTTTTCTTTGTGTCTCAAAATTATTGTCCAATATGAATTCTAATTTTAGTCAAAATTATATTAAAATTATTTTTAAATAAACAATTATTTTGGGACATAATTGGCATAATATCGCAATATATATATATATATATATACCCTTACTGTTAAACTGTAGGTCCTAAATCAATTTTTTGTCTTTTGGAATCCACAATACACACCTGCAATGAAGCACAAACTGTAGGTTCAATAGTTTTTTCTGGACCAAGCTGTGAATGGATCACTGCCCATAATAACATCCTCTAAACAAAGGGAGCACTAGCCCATCTTTTCTTTTTTGTTTGAAAGGGAGCACTAGCCCGTCATTCTTCATTCGAAATAGAAATAAATAGGGAAATTTTTTGGTAAAGGCATGAGAAGATTAGTAATCTACAGTATTATACTAAGAGAGAAACCAGAAAGAGAAAACAAAAAAGAATTCTAAAGGTGCTATATAGGATAAAATCCTATGTGTCATTTTTCTAATGGTTGAGTCAAAAAATATTTATAACAATTATAGTCCTTCAAATTTTATGTAAATAAAGTTTTATCAAATGGCATTTAAAACTGTAGTTTAAAATAGGAAAATAAAAATTAATTAAATTTAATGGACGGGATTAATGAACATTAATGCACCAGAATTATTCCTTCCCCAAAAGAATCCCCAAAATTACTACTGGACTCATTTAATTAATCTCTCTAAAAAAAATCTCCCTCCCAATCATGTAAATCAATAGACTACAATTCAAAAAAAAAAAAAAACCAATCATTCAACATTAATGTTATCTTTAAAATCTTTTCCCAAAAATACGACCCTGTATTTTTTGCCAATAAAAAAGAAAAAAAAGGTACAAAACTTACCTTTAATTATTATTAAAAGGATGGGATTTAACTATAATTAAATGTTATTTTTTGAATTTAAAACCAATGCATTTATTTGTGTAATATCATATTTACCCAAATAAATATAATCTTTCCTTAATAATATCTCAAAAATTGTTATAAACTTTATTTTTATTACTGAAATTTTTGATAATCAATTATCATCAATCCTAATTTATCTCTATTTATTTCCACTTTTGGATAGTAAAATTTTGGATAGTAAAATATACTCCAAAACACCTACATTACTGATGGATTATAAATAACAATAGTAAAATTCATTTTACACTTTTTATATTTTTTTGTAGATTTTTTATAATGTATATAAATAAATCCCGCTCATCGCGCGGGTTTAACATCTAGTTATTAAAAAGAGGGAAAAAAAAATGGCGTTCCCTTTGCCCTCAATGTTAATCATACTTTATAAATTTTCGGTTATTTAACTTTACCCTAATGTTTGAAATTTTTGTCAATTTCGTCTAATCGGATCTCCGTTAGTTTTTTAATAAAATATAAATTTAATTTTTGAAACACCCCCGATAGTTTTTAAAGAGTATAAAATAACCCCTAAAATATATAAAAATAACAAAAGAGTCCCTTTTTCACTTTTTTATTTTAATTTTCTCTATTTCATTGATTCATTCCATTTCTCTTTACTAATTTCCCTTTTTACCGAAATATTTATTTATTTTCAAAGTCTACTGTAAAAATTAATCTTTATATAGCTTTAATACATAATTGTATTTATATAAACATATTAATATTTTTAATAATATAGTTTAGCAGTAACGATAATATCTTTCTTATTTATTTTACCCTTCCTAATCTAAAGAATAAAAACATTTAACTAAAACTAATATTTCACATAAAAATAAAATATTTAGCTCAAATAAATAAAAAATTATTAATATATTTTTTAGTGTATTACAAATTAACTCAAGAGATTATAAATTGCATTAATATAATTCATTAAAAAATAATATAAATATAAAATAATTAAAACCTTTTTAACAAAATCCTCCAAACATAAGTTTTCCTTCTTGAATCTACACCTATTCTCCGTCACAACAGCTTATCACAATATTGTTACCTCCATTTATTTTTAACTAAAATTATATAGAATAAGTAAGACTTCCTCTATGGTTAGATATATTAATCTTTCAAATAATTGTCACAAAATGTTAAATCCTCGAATTGATAAGTATACACATTTTTTCTAAATTATATTATACCATGTACTCTCTCTAGTTAAATTGTAATACACTAAAATATACTAATATATTATTTTCGTATCTGAGATAAATATTTTATTGTTATGTGAAATATTATTTTTATTTTAATGTTTTTAATCTTTATATTAGGAAGAATAAATAAATCAAAAAAATAGTATCTGTATTGCTAAACTATATTATTAAAAAGTTAACATGCTTATATAAATACAATCATGTCTTACAACTATACATAGATTAATTTTTATGGTAGAGTTTGAAAATAAATACAAATATTTCTTTAAAACTCATATAATATATTTCTGTAGTCATTAAAAGTAGTAAAGAGAAATGGAACGAAATAGAAAAATAAAATAAAAAAAGTGAAAAGGGATTGTTTTGTCATTTTTATATATTTCAAGGGTTATTTTTATATTTATTAAAAACAATCAGAGTGTTTTTGTAATTAAATCTATTATTTTATTAAAAAAAACTAACGGAAATCCGTTAAGTTGGACAAAAAATAGGCCGATTGGACGATATTGACAAAAATTTCAAACATTAACATAAAATTGAGCATTATTAGTGTCAAGGGCAAAGTTTTGGATAGCAACACCATTTTTTCCTTAAAAAGAGTATGGGATTCACCTATTCATTATCATTAATTTTAACATTCTTTTATTGTTTTTTGGGTCTACAAAATACTGTCTTATCCTTTTCATCTTAACCAACACACCGTTTCGACCTCCTTTCAATTTTTATCCAAAAGCAACTTCAAATTTTGCTTCGCATTCCTTAATAAATCCTGAGTTCATATATTTTAAGATGTTCAATCACTTTTCAAAGCTCAAACTAGAACAAAATTTCCTTTCTTCTTCATAAGCAACAAAATCGAAACTTTCAGATTATACGATCACGTCGGCGTCGGCTTTAACTATTAACCAATGACTGTAATTTACTCAGCTATGTCATTATATTATATACTTTATATGTACACAATTTAACACCAAAAAAAAAAAAAAATGGAGACAAGTGATAAATTTCATTATTTCCATCGTTCTCAAAATCATTATCTAATCTAAATTTTTATTTTTATTATAGATACTCTTTCCGGGACAATTATAATGGAAGGCAAGAAAAGTATGAAGTGATCCTTTTGGGACTTAAAATGATTTAGTATTATTAATTAACGAAAAATACTGTAAACTACAAACAAAAGCCAATTAAAAAGATTCCCAAGAAAACGTAGAATAAGTAACCGACAGAGGAACGGAATAACTTAATGCTCCATCTTCAGTTTGGATCAACAGGATTACAATTTGATACCCCTTTGCAAAAGAAACTCAAAAAGAGCAATCACTTTCTCACGAGGTGGAGCAATTTCCTTGACCACAGGCAGCTCTATCAGAGCATTCACCCATGAGAAAAGGAGTGGGTTTTTTTCCGGATCAATTACTTTCACTCCAAACACTTCCTCTTGAATCTTGAATGCTCCAAGTGTTACTGCCACCATTATCTCTAAAATCCCCAACTTTTCAACACTGACTTCAGGTTGCCCAGTTGGGAAGAAAAATTCCTTCATCCCGTCTTCAAGTATCTTTTGCTTCTCATAAATTTCTTCAATTGCTTTCTTCTGCGCCTCCTTGTCATTAGTAATCAATTTGCCCAATTTGTCCAACAGCTGCATCAAAAAATAAAAATTAAAAAAAAAAAAAACAAAAAACACCCTACGTGTTAAATTGTACCATCCTGCATGATTAAATATAAAAACATATCATTGGCTACTTATAAAGACAAGAAAATTGTTTAACGAAATAGCACCCAGTTCAATTTCAATCTTCAATATTGTCAAATTCAGTGGCGAACAAATATACTGTGCATCATATAGAAAAGATACAAATTAAAAGAAAAGTAGCACCAATTAACCAATTATTTCAATTTGAAGAAATGGAAGATGAATACGCACATACCTCTTGGATGTAGCTAGCCCAGAAACGAACTTGAGCTCTTTGGTATGGATCCTTGGGCAAAAGTTGAGGACCAAGATTAGGCCAAGTCTCATCAATGTACTCAAGAATGACCAGTGATTCACACATTGGTTTTCCATTGTGAACAAGAACCGGAACCTTTTTATGAACTGGATTGTATTGAAGCAACAATGGACTTTTGTTGCTCAAATCTTCTTCCACATACTCAAATGGAATCCCTTTGATTTTCAGAGCTAATTCTACCCTTTTCACATAAGGGCTTCCCCACATTCCATGAAGAACTACTTTCTCATTTCCCTCGGCCATTCTCGCAATCTGTCCTTCTGTGATTTGGATTTTGATGTGTGGTTTGAAATTGTAAATTTGTATAGAACTTTCTTCCCCTTTTATAGTTGTAAGTGGTAGCAATATTGCAATGGATTCCAAAGCAAGCTCTTTTTTATTACATAAACTATCTTTCTTGAAAGGCAAATAAAGAATTTAATCATTACCATTATTTTTTAAGTTGTGGTGCTCAAAAGTCAGTGTTGACTGGAGAACAGTGACATAGTACCACATAAGCATGCACGAAGTTTGATGAGACGTATGAACGCATTGACCGGAAAGATACTACGTGGTTTCTTGTTGAACAAAATGATGCTGCAGCCTGCAGAGTTTGTGTTGTTCGAGGACAATTGAAAGACTTTCAGCCATATCTAAAAAATTAGTACTACTATAGTAGTGCGGGTTAGTTACATGCATGCCCTTTAGATATTAGGAAACTATTTTTCATCCTTTAAAGTTTTTCCAAATCTATGGTCACCTCTATTGCTCACTAGTTAGAAACTCCAATATTAGGTTAATATCAACACCAATGTAAAATGGTTAAACTTTGTTTTATTTTGTCCTTTAATTAAGGAATAAAATTCCTCTACCCCCTGTGTTGCCTCGTTGGACATCTCGAATGGCCTCTGACAGCAAGATAGGGGCTAAGATCATGAATTTAACTTTTAAGATTGCAATGATAAAATCCGACTTGTTAATATTCCACTTTTTAATTATTATGGATAGTTTGTTAGTAGTATTTTTCACAAGCCGTTGACCTTTACTAGCTAGCTCAGTCAAGGGAGGGTTTTATTTTCTTGTTTAGAAATTTGCGTAGACACTTTGCAGTTCCTTAAAACGTGAAGGCGGTCACAATAATTAACCTCAGAAGTTATAAAATTTATTGACTCAGAAAAATGTTGAATATTTTTATGATATTTTGGAAAAGCGTGTGGTGCAAGTATTTTAAGAGTACATCCTGACTTGTTTGCCAATTTTCAATCTGCTCTGGTCCGCACTACTTTCTTTTTCATATTTAAAACCCATCCAGAAATTAAAGTGGGAAAAAATATTTCTCAAAAGTTCCAATAGCAATAATAATAATCGGGGCAGGCAGGTCCCCCGCTGAAATTTGACCTCCACATGCAAACCAATAGTTGTCGGGAAACATGGCTTTGATTAATAATTTATTGGGCGAAATCGAAAAAATTATTACTCTACTCAGTTTATATTCTCAACTTGGTTTTTAATTCCTCAATGTGGTTTTTGACTCCGATCTAGTAGTAATAACATTCTTTACGTAAGCCAGCGAGAAGACGAACCAATTCGTTCACCCACAAAGTAATCAATTTTTTTAATTGACGTTTGAGCATATAATACAACCAGGTACATATTTGGGTTTCTAAAAATGAAGAGAAATAGATATTTAATTCATTCGAAGTTGATTAAACTTTTTAAACAAAAAACAAAATTGATTAAAATTGAACTTATCAGTCTTCAAATTTGCCTAAACTATTTGTCTTCAGTTTAATTATTGACCGGTAGTATAAAATAACAGGAAAAAACAATCAATTAGCAAAGTAACAAAGTTAATTTGTTGAGTAAAGAGCGATTTGACCCGAAGGAGCAGATGTAAATGTAAGGTTATACAAGCATATGTAACTAATTTTAACTGCCGAGTTAAAATAAATAGAAATAGCAAGTAACACAATTTTTCTTTTAGGAATTTGATTCAGAAATTATTACCAAAACTCCTTTGATAATGGTAATATTTACTAGTCAAACACTTTACCCACTGTCTTTAGACTTTTAGTTTGTGATTGTAAAATCTAAATGATGTTGATAATATCTGCGCAAACTTATCAACTATGGCAACTTGACTAGCTAACGATTATATAAAAGCTAAGAAAAATCCTCAGCATTGCCCAAAGTAAGAAAAGCGATGGAGGAAAACAAAGTGATTCTTCACGTAATGTGGGCAAGCCCTTTTGTGATGAGGGCACAATTAGCCCTCAAAATCAAAGGCATCCCTTATGAATATGTGGAAAGAAGATTTGATAAACAAGAGCCAATTTCTTCTTCAATCCAATCCGATTTGATAAACAAGGGCCATTTATAAACGGATTGGGTTCGGGTTGATTTGGCGAATTACGCATATTACTCGTTTAAATAAATTTCTTAGTAATTTTATTAATTTCTTATAGGCATATTGGTCATTTTAGCAAATATTTTATTATTTTTTTTTAACATGTGATTTTTAACTTTTAGATGATGGATTATTTTCATTTGGATTGTATTTTATCAAACATTTGTCATTTAACGATATTTTGTAGATTTTGTTATGGTCATGCCTGAAATTAATTGTGTTGCTTTGGTTTGCATTTTGAAATGTAGAGAAAAATATATTTTTATTCAAAATTTCCTAATTTTACCAGGAAAAAAAATTAGTTGGTACCAGTAAAAAATAATAAAAATATTCAGGTTAAAAGGGTCCAATCTAGGTAACCCGTAAAATAAAAGGTCGTGTCCATGTTCAAGAATCTGACCTATTTAATATATGGGTTGGGTTCGGATTGGGATAAAAATTAAACAGGTTATGTCTAACCCAAACCGTGGACCCAGACCCAACCCAAATTGACACCTGTAGGTAAAACTACCCTTGCTCTTGGGAGGAGATCATGAGTTGAAACCCCCACTCCAACAAGAGTGGGGGAGTAACTCTAACCTTGCCAATTGACACCTCTAGAGGGCTTGTTATGACAAACCCATTCATAAACCCCCGATTTCGTACCCGGACTTATCTAGGGTGGTTTACCTCTCACTGCGATTTGCAGGTAATTGCAGTGGATGTGGGTTTACCTATCTCTGGTAGAGTTCCCGAAGTTTTAAAAAAGAATTGATAAGTTATATTTTTTTTCTACAAAATTTCCTAAAATATTGATCTTGTGAGTTATACTGAATCGTTGATGAAGGCCGGGGACTAGGAATTAGATTAGAGTTTCTTGAACTTTTTGTCCTTTTGTTTTATTTATTATTTGAGGTCTCTTAGTAATTTTTGATTAGGTCTAATTTGTGTCTTTATCTATTTAAGGTTTTGGCCGCTTTTTTGTACAGTTGGTTATTTATTTTATAAACTTACAAGAATTTTCTCAAAACCTAGTCCTTCTGAACCATTTCTTGGAGGAAGATTTATAATTTCTTCGGGTCCATTTGTTGGTGATTGAAATTAAAGTGCTAAGTTAACGGTTTTCCATTTTTTGGATTAAAGGCCGTCAATTTTTAAAGTCTTGATTTCTTATATTTGTTTAGGTTTAACATTTATTGTTAATCTGAAAATCACTATTTACTGGACTATTTTTCAGAGGTAATTGATGATTTGGTTATTTGTTCGTATTATTTTATCAACATCTATCGTTGTATTGTTTCAATATGGCGATCATGTCCTTAACGTAGGTGATTGTGTTATATGTCATAAGGCACGATATATCGTTGCCACATGAAAGAAAGATATCTAGTTAGCTAAGAGATTGCGTCAATTTCATTATGAAATACATTTAATTCTTTCATTTAAAAAATGTAGGTACTGGAAAGCACTGGAAAACTTTTCACCTTTGACAAGGAAGAGCAAGAACAAGGCCTTAAGGAGGTTCATGAGAAGCTAGTAATATTAGAAAAGGGATTAAAGGAAGAATTCTTCCAGATGGATATATTGATGTTAAAGCGAACAAACTTGAGATTCTGGATATTATGATGTTTACCAGTTTTAGTTCTCATAAAGATGAGAAGAAGCATTAGGTGTTCAAATTCTTGATTCTCAAAGAAATCCACTCATTCTAAAATGGGTTGAAGCTCTAAGTCTCCTGCCTGTGATGAAGGAAATCATCCCACCCCATGAAAAGTATATTGGCTTTCTTCACTTCCTTCAACAAATCAATTTCAGATTCACTTGAGCTTTGCTTAGTTGGAGCTTAGTTCATAATTAGTTTCTGAACTAATAAATTTGTAGCTCTATACTTAATGTAAAACTCTTTTTGTAGACTATAATAAACACGTAATCATGTGTTACAATTAATTTCTTCCGGCTGCCATGTATGATTCATCTCCTAAGAGCGGTATGAATTTGCTCTGGCCCATAAATTTTTCAGCCACAAAGACTGTTTCAATCAGCATGAATTATGAGGTGTTCTAAGTATTCCCTCTGTGACTTCGTCTCAAAAATATTGTCCCGTTCAAGTTTTAATTTAATTTATATTAAAAATAAATATCCAAACTGTTGTGGTGGAAAGGGTATAAATACAACAATATAGCGAAAACGAACCTCAGAAAAAATCTTCTTTCCTATTACCAATAAAATAAGACAATTAACCAAGCCAACCAAACAAGCAAACAATCGAAGAACTGATAAATTAAAGTAGACACAAGAATTTACGTGAAAAACCCAAATCGAAAAAAATCACGGGACTGTAACAACAATCAAATCTCCACTATCACAATAATGAGAAAACGGTTTTCACCAACCGGTGGATACACAGGACTTTATCCAAAAGTGGATTACAACAATACTCTTTCACACACACCTATCACAAAGTAGGATTGGAAGGATCTCACCGAAAGAGAGCTAACCCAAAAACTAAACCAGAGTAATTGTAGATCTTGTTGAGAGGAAAACATATCCAAACTTGCACCAATAACTGACTCTGTTTTGTTACCCGATCAAAACCTTAAAGTGAAATATTTTTTTCTCACAACGCCAAAACCCCAAAACTCTAGTTTTCTTCTTCTCTTTTCTCTCGCACAAGAACTAGTGCGGCTGCCCTTTTTCTTGTTAAACTCACACCCGGCCAAAAAAAAGAACAAGAGACCAAGGGTTTATATAACCCACGGTCAAGCCCAAAAAACCAAACCAATTTTGGACTTGATTTTTTTTTCTTTCTTTCTTTCGGCCAAACACCAATACCAAATCCAAGTGGATTTTGGCTTCAAATCTTGCTAGGCCCAATTGAAGGGAAAACCGGCCTAACAATCTCCACCTTCACCTAAATTGGTGGGTAAAACCAAACTGGCTTACTGTCTGCAAAACAGGAGCTTATCGACAGTCTTCGTCAACATATCGACACCGTTGTCATCTGTATGGATCTTTTCAAGAAACAATACCTTGGATTCTAGCACATCTCGAATCCAATGTTATCT